GTGAAGATCTGAAGGAGCTGGAAAGAGCCATGTATACGGAGGCTGAAGACCAGCTGTTTAGGGAGAGGCTTTTGAGTGAGTTTCCCAAGTTGAAACCCAAGTTGGAGGAGCGCATAAGAAAGCTCCACGAGCTTGCAGATGAGGTTGACAGGGTTCATAAGAACTGCACCATCTCCAACATAGTAGCCGGCACCACTGGCGCTGCATCTGGCCTCCTGTCCATCCCTGGTCTGGGTCTGGCACCTTTCACAGCAGGGGCCAGTCTGGTACTCTCAGCTGTTGGAGCGGGGCTGGGAGCAGCATCTGCTGTGGCCCAAGTGTCCACCAGCATCGTGGAATACTCAAGCGAGTTGTCCGCAAAAGCCAAAGCCAGGCGCCTGAGATCAACTGACTTTATTGAAGAGGACATAATTACAAAGGTTCTGAATTCTAGCAAACCCAAATTTCTGCCTTAGCATGTAAATGCCTTAAAGACCTGCAAGACCTTGGAAACAAGGTTCGGGCCATCAAGGTAGCCACAATTAACCCTCAGCTAGTAGTCAATGCCCTTCACCTCATGAGAGGTAAGCCTGTCTCAGCTCAAAGTGCCAGGCAGGTGCAGAAAGCTTTTAAAGGCACTGCTCTGGCAATGACCAAAGGAGCCCGGATCATGAGTGGGGCCTTATCAGGTCTCTTCCTTGCGATGGATGTGTTCAGTCTTGTGAAAGAGTCAGGGCACTTGCAAGAGGGGGCCAAGACAGAGTCAGCTGAGGAGCTGAGGCAGCAGGCCCGGGAAATGGAGAGAATGTTGAAGAAGTTCACCAAGTTCTATGAAAGTGTGATGGAGGGCCTGACTCCATGACCCCCGAGCAGGGCAGGGAGCAGGGATATGTGTGGAAGAAAGACATAGAGGTACCTTATTAGAGAGGAAAAGAGGGGGAAATAAAGTTTTCGGGATGGGTGTTGAGGAGTTTGGCATTTCTGTAGCTGAGCCTAGTGAGGGAGGGGTTAATGTGATGGCAGAAGTGTGGCGGGGGGGAACATTTGGCAAGTTGCTGGTGCTCTTTGGGGTCAGTGTGCGCTGAGAGACCAATGAAGCTCCTATGAAATTCTAAAGGTGGTGTTGGAACAGTGGCTGATTTGAAAAAAAAAGTGACGGTGGAGATGGGGGAGAGTAGAAAAGAGAAAGCAGATGCCAGCAACAGGTCAAGGAACCTTGCCATATGTCGAGGAGATCAACCAGCATGGGACCAAAAGACACCGCTTCTCTGAGTCTCACTGTCCTCATCACCTGGGGGTGGGGGGTGGGGGACAGTGTATTGCAGATCCGTGTGGCTTTCCCAATCTTGTCTTCTAGAGACTGCTTCAATAAATATGGACTGATGCATCGTGTCTTTGTTGTGTTCATTGAGGGTCTTGCCTGGGCTCTGGAGGCCAGACTTCCCTTGCCCATGGCCTTGTCTTCCGGGATCTCAGGGAGCAAGTCCTCCATTGCTCCTTCTGCTTGCTCACTGGGCTCCCGCTCTCCCGTCTGGTTATTTTCCTCAGACCTCAGCACCTTGCACGTCCCACTGGGACTCCCAGGGGAAGCTTGTGCACATCTGTCACCAGACTGAGCACAGGCGTGTTCCTCGGCCAGTGTCCAGAACCTGGGATCAACGGGACAGATGGCTGTGTTTTTCTGGTGGGCAGGAGGACCAAGCCTCAAAAGCTGCAGACTTCCTCCTCCCTCCCTCCCTCGTAGACTGCCAAGCCCTCAAGGCCTCCCCTTCCCCACCACCGAGTCATGTGATTCTCTCTTCCTTCTTTCTTGCCCAGACCCCACCTGCCTTCCCTTCTTCCCAGTCCCTCATCCTGCCCTACTTCTGGTCTGTACCTGCAGGGAGTGGGGAGGGGGCTCTCAGCCATCCGTGTCGGGTGGCTGGTTGGATAAATGGTTCTCTTATGGCTTCAGCAGCCCAGCCATTAGATTCTGGGGAGGAAGGCGAGAAAAGCCTCACTTAGCTTTTTGGTCTAGTTGTCACCCAGGACTCATGCCCAGGGATTTTCTGCGCTGGGGTTTAAGAGAAGGAGGCATCGGAGATTTGCCCAGCATTAAGGAATCCAGCCTTTAATGTCTTTCTACATGCCTATTTTTCTTCAGTGCCTGAGGAGCATTACGGGAAGTTGAGGAGGGAGGTGGGGTCCTTGGGAGATTCAAGGAACAAGCCTCACCCAGAATCCCCCACATATCGGAGGGCATGTTAGCCTGAGAAGATGCATGCTGACTCGCTAAGATTTGGGGACCAAGGGACAATATGGGGAAGCTGCAGCCACCAGGCCTGGGGCCAAGGCAGGAATCTAACCAGAGGGAAAGGAGCCTCGGCTGTTTATTGGAGGCTCTATTCAAAGCAAATAGTCTTAGTATCCAGGCTTCCTCATCTTTGGTGAGTGGAATGATTCTCGGCTCCACTGCTTGTTATTTTTCTCACCATCCTTTATTCATCCTGTTAGAGACCAAAACTGTGAACTGCAAAACCTCTGCTGTGTTCCACAGGAGGCAGAGAGTACTTAGGGTGTGAGGTTTGAAGCCTTCAGATGGTTAGCATGGGGTATTGCTAGGAGCAATAGATCAGCCGCCCCGAATTCTGGTCTTGGCATTCTTTGAATGTCATCCTCCAGCAGGGAGGACACTTGGTGGGGCCAACCTCTCAGATCAAAGACTGTGGGATCCGGGAACTATCCGTCCCCCATCAACGATACACAGGAATGTGGAGAGTTCCCTGTGCTGGCCTCAGCCACAGGATGTTTGATGCCAGGGACTGATGGTTCTATCACTGAATCAACCGAGAGGACGCTGGCCCTAATCATTCAGATGCTATGATGTCCCCACTATGCTTCCGGTAATGAAAAATCTCAGTAAGATTATTAAAAATCCAGCAGCTAAGAATTTAAAAGGCCCCTAGGTATCTGGATTGTAGGAATCTGGTTGCTCAGAGGATCAGGAAGGAATGAGATTGGTTTAAAAGACAGAGTTTGGACTTGCTGTCAGAATACAAATGCTGGGAACATCTGACCCTGGTACATTGAAGGACCTGAGATCATGACCTGAGCTGAAGGCAGACCAACTAAACCACCCAGGTGAACCCCCCACCTTTTTTTAACAGATTGAGAGCGAGCGAGCACAAGCAGGGTATGGGAGGGGCATAGGGAGAGGGAGAGAGACAGAAGCAGACTCGTTGCTGAGCATGGAGCCCAACTCGGGGCTTGATCTCAGGACTCTGAGGTCACAACCTGAGCCAAAACCAAGAGTCTGATGCTCAAACGACTGAGCCATCCAGGTTCCCTGGTAGTTCATTTTTTAAAACTGCTGAGTGATATGTATGGCCATACTACATTTTCCTTATTCTCTTGACAGACACTTGGATTGTTTCTTTTCTTCTTTTTTTTAAAAAATATTTCATGTTCAAGTAATCTCTATACCCAGCGTGGGGCTTGAACTCATGACCCGGGATCAAGAGTCACATGCTCCACCAACTGAGCCAGCCAGGCGCCTGGGTTGTTTCTAATATGAAGCCATTGGTTTTTTTTTTTTTTTTTGGTATTTGTCTCACCATTAGACATTATACTCAAGCCATTGTTAACAAGACTGCTCTGTACTGGTCTTGCATGGGCATGTTTTCATTTTTCTTGGGTATGCACTGTGCGCTATGGTAGGTGAATCCTTACCTTTTGAAGAACGTGCCAAGTAACTTTCCAGAGTGGTTGTACACCTTACGCTCTCACCAGTATTTATGAGAGTTCTGGTTGCTCCGTACCCTCACCGGTACTTGGAATTGGCCATTTCTTTCATTGTAGCCATTCCCATGGGAGTGTAGTGGTGTCTCCCTGAAGGTTTCATTTGCATTTCCCTGATGATAATGTCAGTCATCTTATCATATCCTTATGAATCATTCCTGTATCTACTTTTTGTGAAGTGTCTATTTATATCTATTGCCCACTTAGCCTGGGTTGCTCAGGCGGTTAAGCGTTCTACTCTTTGTTTCGGCTCAGATCATGATCTTGGGGCGTGGGATCTAGTCTTGCGACAGGCAGGGAGTCTGCTTCCCCTCTTCCTCTCCCTCTGCCCCTCCCCCTGCGTATGTACTCTCTCTCTCAAATAAATAAATAAAAATAAATCTATTGCCCCCCCTTTAAAAATTAAGTTGTAGTCTTATTATTGAATTGTAAGAATATTTAGTATGTTCTAGATACAAGTCATTTGTCAGATATGTGTACTGAGAATATTTTCTCCTGTTTTGGGACTTGTCTTTCCCTTTCTTCATGTTTTTTGAAAAATGAGAGTTTTTAGTTTTGATAAAAACGATTTATCAACTTTTTTCTTTTATGGTTCATGCTTTTTGAGTCTTACCTAAGAAATCACTGCCTCGCTCCAACGTTATAATTACTTTCTCCTACATTTTCTTCTACAAGTTGTTAAGTTAAAGCTTTTGCATTTAACTTTTTGGTCCATTTCAAGTTAAGTTTTGTGTATGATGTGAGATAAAGACTGATGATCATTTGTGTCATGTGAATATCCAGTTGTCCCAGTACCATTTGTTAAAGAGACTTTAATTTCTCTACCGAACTGTCTTGGCTCCTCTGCCGAAAATCAATTGACCATATGTATTTGGGTCTACTTCTGGATTCTCCAGTCTGTGTCATTAATTTATATGTCTGTCCTTTTGCTAATACCACACTGTCTTGTTTTCTATAGCTTAACAGCGAGTCATATGATGAAGTAGAGTAAGACATCCAACTTTGTTCTTCTTTTTAAAATTGCTTTGGCCATGCCAGATCATTTGTTATTTCCATATACATTTTAGAATCAGCTTTTCAATTTCTACCAAAAATGTCTACTGGGATTTGGATGGGTATTACACTGACTCTGCAGATCAATCTGGGGAAAACTGACATGGTAGCAAGATTGAGTCTTCCAGTCCGTGACATGTTATATGTCTGTGTTCATTTAAGTCTTGCCTAACTGCTCTCAGCAATGTTCTGTAGTTTCTGGTGAAGAGCTCTTGCATCACTTTTATTAAACTTACACTTAAGTATTTTATGCTTATTGGCACTATTGTAAATGGAATTCTTTTTTTTAAGATTTTATTTTATTTTTTAAGTAATCTCTACACCCAAAATGGGGCTTGAATTCACAACCCAGAGATCAAGAGTCACACACTCCACCGACTGAGCCAGACAGGTGCCCCTGAATGCTTCTCTTTTCAAATGAAAATGAAGGCCCTTCCTCCCTCTTATAAGGGCACTTGTGATTACATTTTGTGCCCACTTGGATAATACAAAACAATCTCCTTATTCAGGATCCTTAACTTCATCACATCAGCAAAGTACATTTTGTCATATGAGGTGATAGTCACAGGTTCTGGGGATTAAGACATGGACCTATTTGGGAGGGCTATTACTGAGCCTATCACCATTATAAATATTCCTCTAAGCAATGCTTTTGGAGCAGCCCACCGATTTTTATACACTGTCTCTTCATTTTAATTCAGTTCAGTGTCTGGTTTTTAAGTTTCCCTTGAGAATTATTCTTTGACCTATGGATTATTTAGAAGTATATCTTTTTATTTCCAAATATTCGGGATTCTCTTAGATATCTTATTTTTATTGATTTTCAGCATAATTCCGTTGTGGTTAGAGAACATTGTCTGCATGATATACATCCTTTAAATTTATTGATACTTGTTTAATGGTCCAGAAAATGGTCTAGTTTAGTGACCATACCATGTGCCCCAGAAAAGAATGTGTATTCAGCAGTTGTGTGCAGGGTTCTATAAATATCACTTAGCTCAAAATAATTAATAGTGTTGTTCAGATTCTCTGTGACTTTACTGATTTATTTACTTGTCTACCAATTGTTAGGAAGGAGGATGTTAAATTTTCCACCTGCGAGTTGGAACTTCCTCTCTTTTATTTGTATGTATTTTTGCATCATGTATTTTGAAGCTCTTTGATAGATACGTACACATTTTTTATTATCATATCTCCCAAATGAATTGACCCTTTCATCATTATGAGATGTCCCTTGTTATGTTTGGTGATACATTTTGTCTTAAAGTCTATGTTATCTGATAGTAAGAGGGCCATCCCTGCTTTCTTATGGTGGCAGTTGGCATAGTATATATTTTTCCACCCATTTACTTTCAACCCATCTGTGTCTTTATATTTAATATTTACATATGTTTGTTTATAATCTTTACATGTCTCTTATAGACAGCATATGGTTGCATGTTGCTTTCCCATTTATTCTGATAATCTCTGACTTTTATTGGAGTATTTAGTTCATTAACATTTAGTGTAGTTATTCATATGATTGGACATAAGTCTACTATTTTTCCCTTCTTTGGCTTTCT